CTCTCCATGTAGAGATAGTATCGTTGATGGGTCAGCCGACCATCATACTACGACCAATGACTGCCCTACAAGTAGGATTGGGTTTGAGGAAGTCAAAATGGCTCTTAGAAAGATGGGAAGGGAGAAAGCTGTCGGTCCTGATCAAATTCCTATCACTGTGTGGTTAGCCCTAGGAGATGAGGGAGTTAAGTGGTTGACCAACATCTTTAATATTATTTTAGAGACTGCCAAGATGCCAGAGAAGTGGAGAGAGTCTACGGTGATACCAATCTATAAAAATAAAGGAGATCCCCAACGTTGTGGTAACTACAGAGGTATTAAACTACTCAGCCATACCATGAAGCTATGGGAAAGGGTGATAGAGGCTAGGTTGAGACAAGTTACTAGGGTTTCGGAAAACCAATTTGGCTTTATGCCAAATAGGTCTACCACGGAGGCGATTCATCTACTTCGACGGCTTATGGAGAAATATAGGGAAAAGTCTAGAGATCTTCACATGGCGTTCATTGACCTTGAGAAGGCTTATGATAGCGTTCCTCGCGATACGATCTGGAAGACTTTGGAAACGAGACGGATACCAACTGCTTATATCCAGGCGATTCGTGATATGTACTGTAGATCTACTACTTACGTCAGGACTACAGTTGGTGACACCGAGGCATTCCCGGTGGAAATCAGACTCCACCAGGGGTCGGCTCTTAGCCCTTACATCTTCGCCTTGATTATGGACGACATCTATTGTGCGACACCAGACGGTGTACCTTGGTGTATGCTTTTCGCTGACGACATTGTCCTAGTTGCTGAAACAAAATCTGAGTTGAATAGTAGACTGGCTACCTAGAAGACTGCTCTGGAAGAAAAATGTTTAAGGATCATTATTGAAAAGACAAAGTATTTATGTTCAAACTTCAATGGGAACCAAAACGATGAAGATGTAGAAGTATGCATAGAAGGACACGTTCTTCCCTCAAAGGATTGTTTCAAGTACTTAGGGTCTATGATACATAAAGATGGGGGTGTAGATGATGACGTTACACACCATATAAAGGCGGGATGGCTAAAGTGGAGGGCCGCTAGTGGAGTTTTGTGTGACAAGAAGGTGCCTCTAAAACTTAAGGGAAAATTTTATAGAATGGCAATAAGACCAGCGTTGTTGTATGTATCAGAATGTTGGGCACCCAAGAAGGATCACGTAAGGAGGATAGAGGCCGCAGAAATGAGAATGCTTCGATGGACATGTGGTAGGACTCTGTGGGATATGACGACAAACTCTGCTATTAGGATGTCCTTAGGGGTGGTGTCTGTTTCCGAAAAATTGAGGGAGGGAAGACTACGGTGGTTTGGGCACGTCCTTAGGCGACTACCGTCGGATGCGGTCAGGAGGGTAGAGTCGATTACAGTCGACGATGCCAGAAGGAAAGGACGACCAAGGCGGGAAGTGGGATGACTGCTTGAGATCTGATTTGATGGATTTAGGCCTTACCGAAGACATGACCTATGATAGGAAATTATGGAGGCTTAAGACTAGGGTAGTCGAGTAGTGTGGGTCACATCTATAGGGTGTATCATCTTTGTCTTCTTTTAAAGGCATTTGTAGTAATTTCCATGACTTTTACTTTTTATACTTTTCTGTTATTGGTATTTATGAAAGATTAGAACTGGGCTTGATATCGTTGTCTTCTGTGTATCATTCTCGTCATGTTTCCTCTGTATAAATTTAGCCGGGTCTTATGTTTCTGTCTATATGCAGAGATTCTTTCGCAGGGATTATTTTGCAGGGATTACTCCCCATTACAGAAGCACATATGGTATTAATGACTGCATATGAATACTGTTTAGCTATGTATTTATGTAATTATTTATACATGCATTGCATTTTATCTATATTTTTAATTTTCTGACTGCCGGAGGTCTTTCACGGAAGCTATTCTCAACCTGGCGTTGGGGGCAGCCTACTACCCTACCTCCCCCCTTACCCCATACATATGGGAATTGGGTTTTGTTGTTGTTTGTCTCTCCCCCGTCACTTCTTTCCATCTCTTTTAAATTTGTTTTTCTAATATCATATTAACATCATATTTTCTTTTACTTAAATAAGCTTTTTATATTAAATATAATAAGAATACAAGACACGAACACATTATATGAAAAAGTAATTAAGATATCAGTATAAATTATAATTATGATCAAAACAATGAGAACATAAATTTCGTCAGTAAAATTATTTATTTCATAACTATTAAATTTAATTACTAATTAATCACCAAACATTAAAATAATAATTAAATCTAATTTAATTATCAATTATAATTTTAAGTAAATATGCACTAGTGTTTTTGTGATTTATCGATCATTAATGCATTCTTTGTTGCTTCATCCTGTATTATGTATTTTCTTGCTTTCTATATTGGTGTTGCTATCAGGTAGGATGAAAACGAACAAATAGACAGTGTTGCTTTGGTGTTGTATCCTCGACTATTCTCCCCAGAACACTTTTTGCAACAGTGAACAGGAAAATTTCGGCCATGATTGAACACTAGAGCAAAGAAACAAGAAAGACAATGAAGCGTTCAAAAATGGATTTCTTGTTCATCTCTTGAGTAATATAGCGAAGCTGCGCTTGTTGTTATGGATCTGTATTTGATAATTGAGTGTTTGTTAAAAATCGAAATTAGTATCTTTCTGGGACAAGAAAAATGTCAGAAACAGTATTATGGTACAAGCTTCTTGGAAGTCGGTTATGCACTTGGTTATAGTTTACTTGCTGTTATAAACAAATTTACGATAACCAAATTCAATTATCCAGGCTTATTAACTGCATTACAATACTTAACTTCTGCTTTAGGGGTCTGGGTTTTGGGCAAGTTTAGAGTTTTACATCATGGTCCTTCCGAATTCGATATATCATGCTGTGAAATGTCAAAACTAACAACTACTGATTAAAATAGAAACAAAACAGAATATAGCAAGCAGCGAAGATTGTAAAAAGAGCTCTAATGACGACAAATGTCATAAAACGATAAATGGTGAAAATTTTCGTCAACCGTTTCTATTTGGGAATCCACTGTTGTGTGACACCTCTAATGACCATAATTCATTCAAATACAGATTGCCGACATCCTCCAACTCTTGCTTTTGCTTTGGATGCTCAAGCAATCCATTTGCTATCCAAAGAAAGACGACTTCATCACTACGATGCGAAAAAAATACAAAACACCGTTGCAAATGAGATAGTAAATAATTGTAACTCAGCTTCAACACCGGCAAAATGTCATTTTCACCTTGCTCAACTGTACACAGTTCATTATTCCTTACAGTGACCCACTCAGATTCATCAGTTCCCAATGTTCTCACTGCCCATGGAACCCCTTTGCATTTTCTTACAATTTCCTCCCTGATTGTCATGAGATTGGATGTTGTCTCCCATCGCCATCATCAAAAGCCCATTTCTCAAACAAAGTCAAACAGTCTTCATGAGGGAGACCTTTCAATTCATAAGGGCAAATCGAACTCATTATGGATGCAAGCTTCAAAGCACGAGGTTTGCTTTCGGACAAGCCATCCATTGACCCCAGTAAATCTCTTAACTCAACCCATGCTGCTCGATTTTCATTCCACGTGTCGTCTAGAACCAGTAAAACTTCTTATTATTCAAAAGACTTCGCAAACAAAGTTGTAAGGCATTGATTGTTAAATCATTACAACATTCTCCCTTGTTTATAGATTGGATAATCAGCTTGAGCAATCTACGAAGATTAAATTCATCCGACACAGATCCACATCTTCAATGGAAAAAGTGTAGAAACACGAACATCATGTATACCAATTGAGCGAGCATAGTTTTTACTAACCTCCAAATCCAAGGATGAGAATCACAGGGATACCTCCATCTTCACTTGGTCTCCAAAAGATCAATAATATTCTCTTTATCCTCATCTCTACCAAGAACATCTGAAGACTTCACAAAAGAGTGAGTATCTCTGTGAAAAACATGTCGGTTATCGCTACACTGTCCTAGATTAAAGCTGTTCCACTCGGTGGCAAATTCGTCTAACCTAGGATTGATCTTTGATGTTGCGAGCCATTTTTAAAGAGAACAAAAGAGGGAAAGAGCAGGAGGATAAAAATCGTACTTGTCAGCTGAGTTTGGGATGATTGACAGCCTGTTTGCGGAGAGCTTCACATCTGAAATCATCAATAACATCTTCAGCATCGTAAAATATATCTCTAAGCTTCCAAATACAGAGGCCAGCTTCTCATTGTGGTGCTGTTATCGCTCGGCATCCAACAGCACAGCTTTAACGCTGTTCATGGTCCCTTCAGCTCTCTCAAATCGATTTTGACATTAAAGCCCAAATAAACTTGTTCAATAGAGAGATCGACTATTTTCCCCAGAACCTTCTATGCAATAGCGTTCTATGCAATAGCGAAAAGGAACATTTCCGCCATGATTGAACTCTAAGAGCTACGAAAGAAGAAAGTCAATGTAGCATTCACAAATGATTTTTTTTCGTGTTTTGAGCAATATATCGTACTTGCCTTTGTGTGAACAAGTATTTATACTTTTCTTGTGTTTTGCTGAAACCTTTGTTCTTTCTATACATAACTTCATGGGCTATAAGCAAGGAATTCGATTCTTCTTTTTGTAGTTTTTCTTACATAAATCTATGCGACAAGCAGCTTGATAGTGGGTTATATGTGTTGATGTCCGACCGCTAAGGGATGACAACATTTCCTCTATTTTCATTTTACCACAAATCTGACAAGTACATAGATATAACCCTCCAAAGACCATATTTGAAACAAAACAAAACAAAAAAATATTAAAATTTGAACATATCCATACTGGATTCGTACTATCCGAATCCGAATAACATAACTTCGGAATCTTTCATCTCTGTGCCTATAAAATCATTTTTCTTCACAGACCTGGCCAAATTCAAGAAGCAACATCCTTGGCTGCAATCAAAGCAGCTAGAAATGTATATATGCAGATTTCCTTTCCTTTCACGGACAAATTAACCCCGGTGGTTAACAGGCAACAGCGCATGCAGCCGGTTCTGCAGAAGCGACGATGTTCGCAGCTGCAGGTTTGACACCGGCAGCTATTTCCAGGCATTCCCATGTTAGTTTCCTCTTCTCGGCAGCCTCGTTTGATTGGGAGTTCTCTTCCTCCAACTTACACTCGCAAGCAAGCACGAGCTCTTCGTCCATCTCGACCAACATCTTTCTCGTGTTTTTTGTTAGGTTAAGCACTGTTTGGTTCCAATGATTCAGGGAATTCCGTTCAAGGACTGGAAAGATGAGAGGGAAAATCACCAGACGGTTATGCCTGATAAGATTAAGGATGCGCTCATTGCTCCATATCATGTGGGCTCGTTCAGCCACCTGAAATGCATATCCATGAGAATAGGAATATGACCTCCAAAGAACCTTTTAGGTACATGGAAAAAAAACCTTCAAAAAATTAAAACATGCTTGTATCGAACACTCATGACTCCCGAGTAACATGGTAAATCACCATTTAATTAATTTATCTAGCCATTAAACATTCTTTATCGAGTATGTAGGAGAATAATCAATAGGCTAATAGCAATGCTAACACCACCAAAATGAACCAGGTTTCAGCAAAATCGTACTAACATACAGTTTCCCCGTATGGAAATTTTGTCCCAAAACTAACTTGCTTTTTCCCTGAAGTGCCATGAACATACATGACAGGAAGTTCTCAATCAACGGAAAAACAAAACCGATAAAGATTATATTTGACGTAGGCGTCTATCAAAGTAATTTGAAGAGGACGATTACCTGGTAATGAAAGCTGTTTAAGCAGCACGCAATACGCCGGAACAGTGGAATCGCGATCTTTTGGAAGTCAGCCATGCCAGTCATCTCCAAAATCTCTTCTAATTCGCTTATAAACATCAATTCCTTTTGGCTATTCCTAACCGGCCAGTACTTTAACAGTCCTGTAATCACGGTATTAGCTAACTTCGGATCCTTATCTACAAACTGTACAATACAGTAAGTTAATTGCTGATGATAAGCACCCATATATTTCGGTTTGTGTAGAGGAATGAGGGCTCGACATAGAAACATCTTGTGCTCCTCCTTCAATGGTAAAGCAAATCCGCTGATAATACTTCCGAAAATCTCCAAGAGCTCAGCAATACCGTTATGCCTTTCGGTTTCACATACGAAAACGCTATGCCTTTCGGTTTCGCATACGAAACTATAGATGATATTGCTAACAGCTTTTCGTACAAATGGTCTGTGTACCGTGAATTTCCCATAAATCCCATGCAGAATTGTTTTCAAACAGTCTCTTTCTCGGGGATCCTCGGACTCAAATAGGTCAAGTAGTCTCAAAATAAAAGAATGATCTAAGTACTTCTTTGCCACCTTTGCATCAAGAGAACTACAACCGATAAACCGAAGAAGTAGATCATATACAAGTTGCAAATTGGACCAGCCAGGATCAAACATTGGCTCTTCATCGTCTGCTTCACCACTAGCGGTATTAGAGCGATATTTAGGTGGAAAAACTCTGAACAGGTTAAGGGCACACATTTTACACACTGCAGCAATTGCTGACTCGTTGAACTTTGCGGACCCCGAAGAAACGAAATCGACAAGCTCTATCAATGTTTGGCGTTTAAGATCTTGCTCGACGGCAGTTTTATCGGGATCACTGGAATTGCTAACCTCACAGCAGAGGTTCAATTTACTGATAAACAGGTACGGTTTCTGAGGATTTGAAACATCGTTGAAAGCCAGATTCGGCTCCACTGCCTCTGATCCAGCCACAATGCTAGCAGGAAAAACGACTGAGGACACCCGTTTAACAACACGTAGCCGACTTGATATTTTATTCCCGAAATTCATACATTGAACTCCATCGTCTGTGTTGGAGGTGCGTTCACTAGATTCAGTCCCAGCTGAATCTAAAGAGTTGGATCTTTGCGACTTCCGAGGGAGTTTTCTTAGAACTTGTTTGAGCATGATGCCAATAAAATTAACTTCCAGTAACACTAAGTTCCTGAATTGATAATATGAAGTTACAAACTGTAAACGAATTAAAGGGATGGCATTGATATGGTAGGGAAAGAAAAAAGATCAAGAACACCGATAATGAATGCATACAGTAATGGTAATTTAGCATGTAAATGGATTCACTTGCAATATTTTCAACCATGCTAAAATCTTAACATGCTTTGTTTCTGGTTAACAGATATATTCATGGGATCAAATTGAAAAAACCAACAATAATAATATTCAATGCAGCAAAAAACAAATTGGGGAAATCTCAAAAAATTGCCATGATTCTCAAAAGTGAAGAACAGCTGGTTTTGGGTATTTTCTTTAGCTTAATTTTCCATTGAAACTGCAGAAAACTTCAGAAAATATAAAGAAAATTCAGTAAAGAAAATACCCAAAACTAGCTGTTCTTCACAAATTAAGCTAAAGCCCTCACTTTGATACTATCAAGCATGAAAAGTAAATTCCCGGTAAACAAACAACGGCCTAGTAGCAGCAATATTGTGTTAAACTGCAAAAGAAAATATGGAAATTTGGTTTCATGATTGGAAAATCTCATGTAAACTCCAGATCTGATAAACAAAGTGAAGAAGAGAGTAAATCACCAAAGATCTAGCACCAAATCACAGTATTAAAACAAATGGAAAGAAACCCAGATCTCATTTAGCAAAAGAATAGCTACTTTTTTAACGAACAAAACTTTGAGCTATACCACAAGGAAGAAAGAACCGGGACAAAACATTTCGAACCAAAAAATAAGCCAATCATGCAATTAAGCCAAGATTAAAGGTGGAAACAAACCTGTGCTTGTTGGGCTGTAAAAAAGGTTTTCAAAGAAAGAAGCAGGTGAGAAAGAAATGGTCTCAAAAAGGTTTGGACTTTAAACAAAAGGAACAGCATTCAGATTTCTCATTAGTTTCAGGGTCAGGGAAGAAGTGGTATTGGTTCTCCATGAAAAATCGACAGTCTGAGCTCCTTGATTGAAGAGAATGATCAGTTTGTGGCATTGTCCCAGAAGGACATATGTTAAATTTCCATTTTTTTTTCTTTTTAAATTTTTTTCTTTAATAATTATCATTATTAATGATTAAGTTGGGGACCAGTTGTTTAGTATCACAATTATAGTCAGGTCTTTGAGTATTTGAACAAAATCATGTTCATGTAAAGAGAATCTTTAGCTCGCATTTTGTTCATATAAATGAATTTATCCTTCATTAATTTAAGCATTAAATTCATTCCCTCTTTATTTTCTAAATATTTTTATAATTTTTATTTTAAATTAGGTAAATCCTTATTTTAAATATTTCATTTTATTTAATCACAAGTGTACTAAAATTTAACAACAAATTAATACTATAATCACTTGAAAAAATCCTAATTATCATGATATGAAATCCTAAACGAGAGTATATATTTATATTTGAGATATTGTTACTGTATTTTTAATATTAATGAGTTTATCAATCCATTTTATTCATAATAAAATATAAATAAATAATATATCAAAAAATATAATATTTTTATAAAAAAATAATATTTTAAATTCGATTTAAAACAGAAGAAATACAAATACAATTATATGCGTATACATGGATTCGTTTGATCCATAATACAGTAACATAGTAGAGTACAGAAAGTAATAAAAGGGGAAAGAATGTCAAATCGACGATAAAAACGGGACCAATATGTCACAAACTTTTAAGTCAACGCAAGAAACGAATCCCCGACACGCAGGTGCCAAATGCTTGATGTCGGCACGTGTCCCATTTTGTATTCGTCAAATGAGTATCCTTTTCTTTCCTTTTTTTATTAAAGAAATCTTAAGTCCCGATTGGCGCCGGCGGCGGAAGCTTTCACCGTGTAATGTTTTGGGCTGAGGCCCAAGGACGATTTTTCTTACAAAGTTGCAATATTTTAAGCAACAAATAAATAAAGTGTTCTTTTTCCTATATTGTCTTGTGTTCGTACTTCTAATTTTTATAATTTTATAAATATTTTCATTTTATGAATATAATTATAAATAATGGATATTAAGATAAGTATAATTATAACTAAATTATTATAAAAGATAACTATTATCAACATTAACATAATAATAAAACATGACAATATCTTGATAATTGATTTTATCATAGTTTAAGAACGATATATTTGAATAATTACAAGAACCTATCAATTAAGAGAATCAATTAGAAAATCTAAAGCATAATAAAATAGAAAGATAACTAAATAACAATCAATTTACGAGACGACGATAAGTACAACTATGGAAAAAGATCAAGAAAGCCTATGGAAAAAGATCATTGTCACTAAATACAACTATGCTTCGGATGCGATTATGTCAAAAGGGGTTTAGTCCACGGTATTCGGCAGGGGTGTGGCACAATATAGTGAAACAAGCTACGATGGATGCTGAAGATTTTTTTTCGGAGGTGAGGTGCGTTATGGGGCTGGTCACAGAATTGACTTCTGGAATGATCATTGGACAGATTTACAGTTCTTAAAAGTAGCTTTTCCTAGAATTTATGGGATTGCAATGAAAAAATTTGGCTCTATTAGTGAGTTTCGGAGTTGGGCGAATGGAGAGTGGGTTTGGAATATTGAGTTGAGGCGTGGATTGTTTGAATGGGAAAATGTTATTTGGAATAATTTTTGTCAAGTTCTAGAAAGTGATGTTAGTTCAAATCCAGGTGATGATAGATTGAAGTGGATAGGTTCTCCCAATGGAATTTATTCTACTAAAGATTTCTGCATTAAATTAGCAACGGTAGGTAAGATTGAAGACCCAATCTGAAAAAAGGTTTGGAATAAGTATGTCCCTTCTAAAGTGGTTGCGTTTGTATGGAAAGTTGTATATCAAAGGCTGCCAGTTGCGACGGAATTGGTTAAGAGAGGCATCAATTGTAATGTCCAACTCTTGTGCTTGTTTTGCAAAAGTCACCCGGAAGATGTCAATCATGTGTTATGTCATTGTAATTTCGTATGGCAAGTATGGCAACGGTGGTGTTTTCTTTGGAAAGCCCGGTTTATTATACCTAAGAATATCAAAGACTTATTAACAATATGGGATTCTCATAAAATTAGAAGAAAAGCAAGGAATCTTTGACAGATTGGGTTTTTCGGTTTGATTTGGCAGATCTAATTGTGTAGAAACAAGTTAAGGTTCAGTAATGTGTCTTATAATGTGGATCAAATATATTCCAATGTTTTACTGCAGACAGGGCTTTGGGCTAATATATTATGGCCATCGCTAGTTCCAAATGTTGAAGACTTTGTTCGAAGTCCAGAATCTATCATCTTTATTGAACATTGAATTATTGTAAAGACCAAGGGGAGTGTATTTCAATGGAATTTTTTTTATTTGAGTCATGATCCAGGTAGGGGTGTGGGCAAACTCTTTATGGTAGACGTTGTGCCGGTTGATCAAGAGCTTGAGGGATGTACTCACTACATCATTCTGGGAGCGTGCTGATAGTAATTTTTTTGGAGTTTTGCATTAATTCAATGATGAGGTATAATTGTTCATTCAACCCGGACACTTGTGTTGATCTGATGCATTCCAGCGTTCTTCTGCATGAGTTAGATCATTATTACTGTCCATTCTTAATGAATTATTAGCAGTTGTTTTGATTGTTCTGGTTATTGCTTTTCTGTTATACTCCATTGCTAGTGTGCTTGGGGTTGTGGATTGATGAAGGATTGGGATACAGATTGGTGATATTTTATTATGTTGTGCAGTGTTATATGATGTGTTAGCAGGTTTGGCGAATCTGGTTTTGCTGTTGTGTTGATGCTTCCCATTGAAGATGTGCTTGTGTTAGTTCAGTTCTGCCTTCTCTTTTCTGGTTTTGTCGACTAGATGCTTGGTCTGGATTGGGGTTACAATGAGTTTGGGTTGTGGTTTTCGGTGTTTAGTAAAATGTAATAGCATTAACTGTTTGAGATTCTTTCCACCTCAAGATACACTCTTTTTCCTCTATTTAGGATTATGGAGGTTTTTTAATGAGGTCATTGAGGTGGTGTACTTTGTATCCTTTAATAATACAAAGTACCCTCTTTCAACAAAAAAAAACGAGACGACGATAAATCTCAACCTAAAAATGAAAAGAAAAATTTATAAAAACCAGACAACTTATTATAGGAATAAACAAAAACTAACTACAATAATATATAAAAACATTCATCATATTTTATAATGGACATTATATAAAAAATATGTAATATAAAATGTTAATCATTGGTTTTGAATCATTAACAAATCCCTATACGACTTTTTAATTGTAATCGTACCTTGTACAAAATTATTAAGTCATCAATGCTGATCTGTAACAGTTATTTAGGCTTTTACTTCTGCTATTAATCAAAGAAATCTTAAAATTCACATCACATGTATTCCAATAACACTTTCTTATAATACATTACAATAATAACACTTTATAAGAATAACTAAAGACGCTTCTCAGGCATTTGCTCTTTCCTATTTTCCTTGGACACTTCTTGATTCAATTAAGACCAAAGTAGAGAGATAAGAACTAACTACAGAGAAGCTTATATACATATATATTGGAACAACACGAGATATATTCTACATGGCAATGTGGATCACAGTAATGAGACCTACTGCAAATCCAGAAATGATTCAGAAACTTGGATTCCTATGGCACTTTCTGGTGGAATTCGAGCCTCATTACCAGAACTTTCGGAATTCTTAGGCCTCCACTGGGTCCTTCCTCTTACGACCTCAGACCCGTCTTCCAGACGGAGCAAGTGCCTGCACTCGACTTCACCAATATTCACCGAGTTCCCCGCACCATGGTCGGAGACGGCAGTTAGTGACTGCAGCACGCAGTCCCTCCCACACTCCCTCCTGTACTCCAATGTCATTGAGGATAGCTCGTGAGACTCCAAGATTGGCAATGGAGCACTCTGCAAACAGTATTAGTTTCCGACTTAAATCAGATTCGGAGCATCAAGTTACTAAATCGCGGTTTCTTTTTATATCATCCACTACATCGAAGCTATTGATTCCGAGGAAAACCATCCACTACGTCGATGAATGCAACTTAAACAAGTCTAATGGATGTGCATAAAATAACATTGTGCTTTTAGGTTGGAACATAAACGGGAAGGATGTGAGTCTACCTCAAGGATCCAGCCAATGTACTTGACATTATTGACATGCTGGTTCACATCCAAGTCACTCCATCTGGGCTGCAAATTAGAAATAAAGTTCGAATAAGAATGCAACAATGGAATAGAAATACCATAATTATTTACAAGCGGCCATAGATGCTGAAGAAGAGCGATAAAGCAGTGGGGGACTTACAGTTAAACCTTTACGAACGTATTCTGCGCTGCTGTCATCAAGTTTCACTAATTTCCGGCTATCCTCAGCAACAACAGGTTCAGAATTCATAAAAAAAGGTTCTATTTCCCCTCGAACCTCTTCTGGAATTTTCGATAACCTTCTAGTCACTTTATTCATCATCACCCAAATACTGCACATTACCACAATCAAAATAGAGGGAACCCAGATAAGTCACGCCTGAAACACCATTCAATAATGTACAAGCACATGGATGAAAAGAGCAATCACTCTATGTTACCCGGGAAACCAAAATATCAATCATCTATTGTGATGAACAAAGACCAGCCAACAAAGCCTTACCTTGAAGCTCTTGTTAAAATTTCACCAGTTTTACCATCGCGGATAACCCAATCCCTTCGCATGCAATTCTTTCCTGATGCACTGACCCAAGTATCTACTTGAACAACATCACCCCTGCAAGAAAAACACAAATAAGTCCAGTGTAAGAGTTAAACTTGACCATAGTAGTTCCCGTATCATCCAAGCAAGAAACACGTCTTAGTAACATCATACTGGGTACTGTATCCACATAACATCATGATGATACACACATATAATTCCCAACCACACAGGAAAGCACAAGTGGCTTATCATGAATTGTGGTTACAAGAGCAACCCAATAGCAAGAAAGTGCATCTTACCAAGTAGGATAACGATCAACCACAACTTGCATCCGAGTGACTACCCATATTAGATTCCTCTTGCACATCTCAGGGGTTGAACCAAAACCATCTCCTAGCATTCCAGCACTTCTAACATGATTAAGTGCTGTTTCCTGCCAAGAAAGAGATCTATTAGCTAAAGATCAGTCTTATCCAAACCCCAACACAAAAATCGATAAATATAAATTTTAATTCCTTAACACAAATTGTTTGAACATCATAGACAAATAACAATAACCCGAACCTGTAAATGATTCATTACTGTCTCTATGGATGCTGTACGATCAGCACCTATCTCATAAGATCTAATTGAGAAGTTCTGTCTGAAAACAAGACCATCCTGAACAATTCTTCCTATACCAAACGGATCAATGAGCATGTCAGGTCTCTTCGGCTTCCAATCAAGCATCGTCCATTGCTTCTCAGCAGCCAAGAAAACGGTTGTGATAGCAGCAAGAAGCATGCTCCAATCAGGTAACTGATTGATAAACGTCCTCGGAGGAGGGGAACTGACACCATCTTCATTCTTGAAAACTTCCACTGGAGGTGTAACAACCTTGGTTCCATTTATTTTTGGAGGGGCTTGTGCATTTGCCTTGACTTGCAAGCTTCCGGAAGAAGATGATTTCGTCGTGATACCTCCAAGATTAATGGATCCATTTCCATGCTGCTTCTTTTTCGAGCCGGAGGAGTCCGGCGATGAACTTACCGGAAAGAATGCGGACGTAGCAGCAGTGGCAACCATGTTTTATAAATTAAAAAGAAATATTATCTGCTAAAAAATCCCCTCGTTTGCTAAGTGCAAGCTTTTCAGAAAAGCATCTGGTGCATTCTCCAACTGTATCACATATTGTTATAATAATAAATAATCAGAACATTTCCAAAAGACGTGTTAAAAGATTCAGATAATCACAAAAGCATCAAATTATGGCTAAAATGCAGTTTACATATTCAATAATTCAACGCAACATCCCGATTTAGTTTTCTCCATAATCTAATCAACAAACATGTATTTTGAAACATCAAATAAGCTGTTCATTTCTACAAATAAACTATCGTCATGTTTAACCATCTAAACGACACGGTAATTTAACAGAGCAACTGTAAATAAGCCAGTAAAGAAAATAAAACAGAGAGGCAGATCTAAGCTGTAAAAATGTTTAAAAATAGAAGGATGGAGAAAAATAGCAAACAATTCATAAGCGCATAACAGCCTCCGTATCCGTTATAATACAGACCAGTGCATTCCTTTTCATAAGAACAAGGACGGGAAAAATATACGTCCCAAAAATAGATTGGTTGATCCGAGACTTTGCCACTCTGCCTTTTTAGGCCCGAGAGTCTGCCTTCCGACCCTTAAGAAGGTATCGTGAGCTCCTTGGAGAGGTCTGCTACAACCCGAGATCCCGGTGTCGTTCACCCGGCTGATTTAGTGGAAAGTCACGATGACCAAATTGAAGAACTTGGCGAATTGGAGGACCGAATTGGCGAAATTGGTAACTTAAAGCAAGTTTTCCAATTCGGTCCTCGTGGCTTGGAAGCGCTCTCGGTGTCGGATGGCAAAACACCGGGCTAAACGACACACAGAAACCCGGTAAAACAAAATCTTCCCCGTTGATGCCCCTACCATCACTCAAAAGTCAAAACATTTTTTTAAAAGCAACACCCAGAATCTTCCTTTCGTTTCTTGCCAACCAAAGTTCCAAACAGATCAACAACATTTCAACCAGCAAACACAGATCAAACCAAAACAAAAATAACAAAAAAAGATAACTAAAATCTTCACGTGCATACCTCGACGGAAAAAAACCAATCAATCGAGTGGAGGTTTTCTCGAGAAAAAAGGCAAAGACGAGAAAGAAAAGAAACTATTGTATGAGTTAGAATCTTCAAACTCTTGTCGATAGCTATAGTGCGTGCAGTCTAGCACCAATCTCTCTTTCTTCCTTCTTCGCTAATCCCTCTCCCCTTATTTCCTTCTCCTAGATTTTCAATTATTTTTTAGAAATTCCGTTTCAGAGTTACCGAAAGCAAACAGATATATTTGGAAATAAGAGTTTTTTTAAAAGAGAGAGAGAGAGAATATTCAAAGCCAGCTCCCAGCTGTTTAGTTCGTGGTGGGGAAAAGGCGTCCAACGACTTTATTTATAGCTTACACCCTGTCCTTCCCGCCTAATACATTTTCCCTCTCCTTTAACTTCCCAATTTTGTAACACTACTTTCTCTTATTTACCATCTTACCCTTACCCCTTCATTTATGTTTCTTTTAAAAAAATTATTAAGTGGATAGGTAATTACATTTTTAAAGTAAATATCATTATAATACTATTAAATTCTCAGTTTTCAATAAATAGTTTATAATCAGTATAATATAAAACACAATGGCATTTGAAGTGAAAACGAATAGAATAAATAACTTGGTGGGGAAGGTTTTATAAAATCAAGTAAGCAAGCTGAAGTCAAATATATATAACTTGCGGGCATAATTTCTTCTCATGTTGGAGAATAAATAAAATTTAAAATATATATTTTTGGGGTTTATTCACCATAGATTTCCAAACTAAATTTCATATTCTAAATTAATATTCAAAATTCAAAATGTTATAATTAAGTACTTAAATTACTGATATTGCATCATTCACGTCATCTCATCGTTCTAACCATTAAATTTAGACAATAAAAAGGTTTATTCAAACAGGACATGAAGCATACTCAAAAGACATCGATCAAATCTTTAACAAGTTCAAATACAGGATAACATTAATCTCATATGTTATAACAAAAGAAATAGTGTTCGTCCATTTTACTTTACATGTTTTTTATTATTAATAATCTAGGGTGAGTGCAAGATGACTCTCAATCATTTGACATTGAACGCTCGCACTTTTGGTCCTAATATTCATGGTGCTTGAACACGGGACATCAAAGAATAACAATAATTTATTTACCATCGATGTCATTTAATTAATGTGGTTTAAATACATATTATATTAGATTTAATTTGACATTTGATACTTAAATTAGAATTCAATATATGAAAAGACATGATAATATTTTTAGAACTCAAACAAAATATTTAAAATTTTGGTCATAATTTTAAGATATTTACTGAATTTTTTTTTCATGAGACGTTGGCCATTAGGAGGAAGTTAGGAAAGCAAATGCATAAACCAAAAATGGAAGTTTGTTTATCGTTCTCTCATTGCAATGGATTTGGCTTTTGTATGTCACATTTGACTTGGAAAAGTAATTTTAGAATAATATGTAAATTGGGAGAGGGGTAGTGCAACCGATGCGTCAAATCCCTCGGCGAATGGGGTTTGACTACTTGGGGTCAAATTCTTCGTCTGCGGTCTTTTTTTTTTTTATATAAACAGATATTGGCAATTTTATTTATTTTTATTAATCTTTATTTTGATTCGCCGAAACAGCCGATTTTGGAGGTTAAATTCGAAACCGGATTCCTCCTATGAAATAATTAAAGTATAGAAAGAAATGTGATTTGAAACTCACATGGGCTTTTCATTCGACCACCTCATTGGGTCATTAATATGCCATGCCTAGCTGCCAGCATTATTATTATTATTTCCCCAAACAGATGGTTACATGTGCGACTCAATGATTGATTAATCCTAACTTATTATTGTTACCAGGAATAATTATTTCATTCTAACTTATTTTATATTAAATAAGAATAGTTTTGATTTTGTTGCCCAAATAATGTAGGCATGAAAAAAATTTGGGAAATATAAGGATTGAAAATTAATTTAGATATAAGTAATTTGTTATAGTATGTTTGAAATTTGTCGTGTGAAAATGACGAATTTATAAAATATAATAAACATTTGAAATTGGTAATGACGAGTTATATTTTTGTCATCTTCTCTCTACGTAGTATTCAAATTATATTTAGAATTTATCATAAAAGAAATATTAACTTCGTTGGCTAAATAATTCATGCAGAACAAAATTTGGAGATGTAGATGTTAGAAAATTAATTTGGGATATATGTTATTTATTACAGTGTGTTTGAAATTCGGGCGTGAAAATGATGAGTTTAATAAAATATAATAATAGAACTCGTCACGCAGACACGAAGAGTTATATGCAATATTTGTCCAATCCACATGATGAGTTATATATTTTTTAATATATTTTATGAAACTTATCGTGCAGACATGATGAATTTCGGTCTAGATTATAAAATATTTTTTAACATTTATATTTTTCAGAAAAAATCACCTATAATATTCCTAAATTTTATTGAATAAAATTATAAATTTTATATTAAATAAAATATTAGTTGTGTATATAACAAGTAAAAACAAAGTGTGTCATGTATATAGTTATATAAGATATTAAATTTTAATTATATAGATTTGATCAATCTTCATACATAATTTTTTTTATCTAGAAAAATTCATCCATATTTTTGGACTGTATTTCCCTAACATGATTTGCATTTATTCTAATTTATCTCAGTTTAATTTATAAGCTTTAAGCCTTTTTTTCGCTTGTTTTTTCTTATTAATTTTATTGACTATTGACCATATCAATTTTAATATTGGTCGTCAATTATTAATACTTCTTATTTTTCTTTCATCGTATCTTTATTTTTTTTCTTTGTTTTTTTAGTTTTTAATAATTATATATTTTGACAAGTTTTTCGTTCTCTTTATCAATCGTTTAGCTGCTTAATTTTCTCAAAGTTATATTTGATATCAATTTGACTGATTAAGTAGGTATTTATTTGTATTAATGCTGATCTTCCTTGCTTTAGACCCTTATATTAAATTTGGATATGCGATTTGTGTTCGAAGATAGTTTTTCTAGCGATGCTCGACTTTGATTTGCGATGGTCGATGATCTTTCAATAGTTTAATCTATTGTTGTGATTTGTTTGTTGATGAAATCATATTTGTTCTTATCTATATTTTGTTCAAGTTTTTTGATGAACTTTTAACATTTTCCTTATATGATTTCATGTGACTAGTCTCTTATATTAATGGTTATAGAAAATGTCCTAATTATATGATTTATTTACGTTTATATCGTAAACATTCACTCTAATTTTGAATTTTTTTAATAAGATTAATTATTTATATTCTTATAAAAAAATATAGGCTTTTAATTTTACTTTTTAAATGACATAATTTCTTTAAATGACCTCTTAATATTTAGACACATTTTATTTGGTGATTTTAAATATGTTAGTGACGAGGACCAACTTATTAGCAAGAGGTTGTCAGGCTAGCCCTTTGTGTACTCTTTGTAGTAATAGAATGGAAACAATGAGACATTTATTTATTACAGTTGCGCATTTAAAAATATTTTTAAAGATATATATATATATATATATAATAGATATTTTTCGTATAGGGTAGATATAACTTTTTTTTTTAAATGGACACTAATAATTAATGAATAACAAATATATGTTCACATATAATAACGAATATTTTTAGCTAATATCAAATTTTAAAATAAAAATAACATTAATATTGACATCACTTTTTTAAAAAATTAGAACTCTTTGAAAAAATTGACACTCATAATTTTCTCATACCCTTTAAACAATATTTTTGTAAAAGACTTTTGAATTTCGATATCGTAATTATTTTATCTCTACTTTGCTCGTGATTCTAAGTACTATATTTGACAAAAGAGAAATATGTGAGAATATGATAAAAATTTAAGACAGACAGAGATATGTTTTATGGAGATTACCATGGTGTTATGACTAGTCTTTTGAATTACAGTAAATTTTTATTTATTTTCTGAATAAAGAATAACTTATCGATAATAATAACTCGGTATTTATAATTTCATGAGAATTCATTTGTCATTTAACATATATAATCTATTTTTCAGCACGAACAAAATAATTTTAGTGATTAAAGCGATAATTGTTATATTTAGAGGTCTCATATTCAAGCATTAGACACTGCAATGATATTTGAGCTTTTTTTTAATCAAACGATTATGAATCTTCAGAACATATATTATTTTGTAATTATCTTAAATAATTAAAAAATTACTAACAGGGGTTGATTCAAGTGATAAGCAGCTTAATATTACTTAATTAAGGTCTTGAGTTCGAGTCTTTGTATATGTAGAAAATCTCTCCTGGGAAACTCACCCACCAAAGCAGGTTTGCAACACGAATCGGTCTGAATTAGTCAAGACGAAGTTTTGGAACCGATGGCAACAAAAAATAATAATAAAATAAATAACATCTATTTTGTAAAGACGTTATAAATTTTTATTTTTTAATATATATATATTTTTTCATACAAAATAAAAAGAACTCAAATTTGCGATATGAAATTTGAGGCTTGCAATCGGGCCCATCGCTTTATAGGATAATATCTCAGGAGTTTGTTTTCTCGAAAGACATTAATAAAGTGTACAAAGGTTTGGTACCGATTACAGTTTTGTGAAAGAGAAAGATAACCATATTGAAAACTACTCATTTTGACGTTTATTGATTATGCATTTACACAGCATAGACTAATAAAATTTTGAAACAAAATAAGAAATACTTGTATACGACATATTTAGAATTTTACGAAGAAGTTTTTTTACTGATTGACACACCATCAAAAATAAATATAAAGGTAAATTACTGATAAAAAAAATTTTAAGTTTCTCAAATAAATTGGCAGCTACAAACCTCCTTTCTTATGTATCATCACTGTTAAATATTATTGTGATCATCGTCGCTTTTAAATAAAACACCCGTACTGAAAAACTTTATTCTTTATTGAATCAATTCATCACCAACCTATATAAAATAATCCTAATAATATATGCTTGTGAAAGTAAAGCAAGAAATGAATAATTTATGGGAATTAAATCACCATTGTGATTACTTCATATTATTGTACTACCTTTTATAAATAAAAGTATTGTAGCTTGTAATCGTTGGGATGGATCCACAACAGCCAACTATTCGCAAGCAACAAAGACAGCACCGGTTCATGCACCCTAAACAGAGTTTAGTTTGGTTAAAAAATCAAGCGAGTCTTATATATCAGTTGATAATATAT